CCTCCCGAGTCCTCTGGCAGGAAGTGCAGCCCGGGTGGCCCAGAAGAGGAAGAGGCCGGAGTCGCCCCAGGCCGCCTGCTAAGCCCCTCTGATGTCTGTACGGCCCGTCCCATGAGCAGATCTCACCAGCCTTCCTGCACCTCGTTCAGGAGAGGAGCCCGGGCCGAAAGGAGGGCGGCTTGGGTTCCACCTCTGGTGGCTCTTTCTAACTCTAGGCCATTTTGACAAATCCCTTAGCCTCTCTTGGCCTCAGTTTCCCCACCTGTATAATGGATGGGAGGAGGAACGGGCTTCTTTGGGCCCTTCCCTCCATAACGTGCCGTGGGAGTTTAGTCTCTGCTGAGGAAGGGACTTTGTTGACATCTCAGTCCCTGGGAACCGTGTCCTGGGTCTCAGCGGGAGGCGGGCCAGTGTATCCTGCCGACTTCTTTCAGTCCCCCTGTGATGGCACTTGCATGGGCAGCTAGCAGACAAGACTCGGTCTGTGCTTCCCAGGGCCCCTGCCAGCAGCCCCAGAAAATCTGGGTCCTAGAAGAGCAAATATGTACACACCCCCACCACTACCATCACCACCCACCCCAAACATCCCTAAGAAAGGTAACCACAGAAACAGCCATAAATGTGGAGCTGGGCGTTAGTGTTAGGCTGCGACAAACTGTCTTTCTAGCGTCTCCAGGGGAAAACTCAAATCCTCCATCAAATCCTCCTCCACAAAAGCAGTGAGTGAACTCCCACTACACAGGATGCTGCAGAGAGAATGGAGGTGGGCGGCTTTGGGGGGAGTTGGCTGGGGGCTGGCAGGCAAGGTGGTCTGAGCCCAGACCCCTCCCTCAGGCAAGTGACAAAACTAAACCCAGAAGGAGTTAGTCTCCTCGGCAGCCCTGCATCAAGTGTTAAATGTTCCAATGACTGTGAGCAAGACAGGACCGGGTTGGTGTGATGTCATATGGACCAGCTCTGGTACCCAGGGGTTCCATCTTTCCTTCTCAGCAGAGACAGTAGCCAAGGTCATTACACAGGCATCTGGTAGCATTTCCATGTAGAGGGTTGTGGTACAGGTGAGGTGCCCTCAGTGAGAAGCCCAGCCCAGGCCTATCAGCCTGGGTTAGTCAGGGCAGATTATGGTCTGCTGTGGTCACACTTAACAATCCCACTCTGCACTCAGGGTGCAGTTCAATGCAGGTCGGAGGGTATAGGGAGGACTCCGTACAGGCATTCAGGAACCCCAGCCTCTTCCACCTAGAGATTCCACCACCCTCCTTTCAGGGCCTCTGAAGCTTCCACTGCCCACCCCACCCCCACTACCAGCCAGAAAGGAGAGAGGAAGGGAGCGCCAGCTGGGGGTCTCAGGGGTCCTAGGAGCCAGGGCAGCGTGAGACACACATCACATCCGCCACATTCACTGACCAGCATATAGCCCCAGGGTCCCACCTGAATGCAAGGGGTCTGGGAATTAGTCTTCCTGTGTGCTCAGGAGAAAACAGTCACTTTGGTAAGCTCATGGCAAAGTCTCTGCTACAAAATCAGAATATTTCTCTGAAGCTCTGTCACAGGGCCACAGATATCCACAAAAGCACAAGAGTCACTGTCACCAAGGGCTGAGCTATGACCAGCCATGTTCACATGGAAAACCGGCTCAGAAGAGGCTCACAGAGCAGGTGACAATCTTGCTAAGCCTGGAAAGATAAGGAGGAGGGGACAGACACTGGGGAGAGGCGGAGTGGAGGACTGGAAAGCCTGGGAAAGCACAAAAGCCAAGGGGGCGGGTCCCCCGGCCCCACCTCTCCTGTGGACCTCCTGCCTTTGCCTGGGCTCTTCTCTCACCCAGCATCGCTTCCCCTGTCTGCCCACCAATCTGGAACCTTCCTGTCCCTCCAGGCTCAGTTCAGCTCCTGCTGGCCCTCCATCCCTCAGCTCAGGTAGACTTCTTCCATCTCTGAACTTCTAAGGAAGGCGTGTTCTCCCTGAGGTGAGATACAACCTGGAACCTTCCTTTCTGTGTCTGCTGCTCCCTCAGTACTCCTTATGCAGCTTAGTGGGGGGAGAGCACATAGGAGTCACTCAACAAATACTTGCGGATTTAATAAACTCAAGCATGTAACGTAAGAAAGCAAATCTAGGGTAAGGTGTGACATTAGTGTCCTGGAGCTGCCGTAACAAAATGCCACAAACTGGGGTGCTTAAAAGACAGATATTTATTGTCTCAGAGTTCTGGACGCTGAGTGTCCAAGATCAAGGTGTCAGCAGAGCTGGTTCTTTCTGAGGGCTAAGAGGGAGAATCTGATTCAGG